CACTTGGCTCTTGTTTAAAAGCCGCATAAGCCCAGTGACGGTGTCGTGACAAAGGTCGATGTGATTGGCCTTTTAAAACTAAAGTCGTTGACCCCCTCACTTCCGAGACAACAGATTACTTCCTGTTACCTTGCAGTTCGCACTTGGTTGTGCTAAGGCTAGAGATGCATCCTCAAAATAAAAAACGCCGAGTAACACTGGGGACGTCTCTCGTACCAAACTCCCAAGGAACTTCATAATCATATCTGGAGCCGGCTTATCCTTTTCAAAGAGCCAGCTGCAGTAAAGTGAAGTAATATATATCGCACCTAGTCCATCGTAGCTACGGTAAAGTTCATAAAAACCTATGCTGGTCGTGAAAATTTCGCTCAACCGATAATATCAAACAGTAAAACCCTTGACATTATGCTAGTAGAACGTTAATTTCTTGTAGAAAGCGTCTGTGCATAATGCTTGTCGCAAAAGGAGTAGAATTTGGAATCACTCACTAAACTCAAATCATCGCTGCTTGTTTTCGGCTTTTAGAGCTTGAACTATAAGGAAAGAAAATCTTTTATAGCCCTCCCGTGACAAAAATACTTCAAGTATTATGAGTGCTTCATCTATTGATGCGTAGCGTTGTTTAAACAACAGGTGTTTTAATCTCTTCGGTTGCTGTCGATGTTTGGGATATATTGTCAGGCAACATCAAACAGGTTTTAATCCGCATACGTGCCTTGTGCGCATAACATGTAGATTTCGAAAGAACTATATTTCCACACAATGCGGCCGTGCACATCACATTCACGTCTCGGTGAACTTACCCGGATCAACTGAACCAAGATCGGCCACAAGGCGAATATAATGGTCCAAGCTAGTAGCAGAGCAAATGTGTGATACGCACTGGACAATCGGCTGGCTAAACACAGAGCAGCTAAGAGACTGGAACTGATTGCGATCGTATTCGACCCGGGCTCGTACACGTACTCCACCGAATGCGTACGGTAGTCCAGAAACAGCCAGCTGATCAACATGAATAGACTACTCAAAGCGTAGATCGTGTCCGTACTCACTGTGGCCAACAGTGAGTGAAGAATTGGGGCAAACAGAAAACTGAAGACGAAAATAAACACGCCCGTGCGCAGTTCAAGGCTCACTAAACGAACGGGAGGAGCAGAGGGGGGGTGTAAAATGGGATAAGTTGGTAATATACTGCGCAATGGTAGGTAGACATGTAACCGAAATACAAGCTAATCAATCACAATGGGGGGGTAGAAGAGAAATAGGCCTCAAAACCGATTGTTTACACGGATTGCAAATCAATAGTGTAACACTGAGTGAGGAATGCACATGACAACACCGTAAAGCATTAGAAACCACCAAACGTTTGCGGTGATGGTTAAAACTTAATTGAGAGAGCTGACAGGTGTTCTATTTGTTTTGAGTTTCTGATATTTTATTGTTTGTTCCTTCTTGTGAAAGTGTGAATTAGTAAGGATATTCACCAAATAGACAGTCTGGAGCCATTACCACAAGGAGTCAAGCAACAACACACAACTTTCTGGTTGTTACTATGCTCTCTAACTCGATTTTATATCGAATATGTCAGTAATATACTCACATGTAAATCAAGTAATAAGTCTTGATTGCCTTGGAACAAATTACACTTATTTTGGTTGCCACTGCACTCTCTGCCCTCCTCCCCTCTTAAATTGTGTATACAGCTGGTTTATTATTCGCAAGAAGTATGTGAGGATATGCGCAAAGCAAATTTCGCCGCAGCACATGTATTGTATAAAGATAATCCTCGAGCTCTTCAAATCTGTTCGGAGAGAACAATGTTGCGATGCGTTTACAAGTTATCGGTTTCAGAAAGTGACAAGCTTTACAATGATACCATACGAAGTACAAGGTGTTCAGTGGGCAAATGAATGAATCCGGACGAGACTGTATCTGACCAGACCAAAAAATAAGGTGTATCATATGTGTAACGATACTTTGTTTACTATTTACTCACCAAGAAGGGAGGAGCTATAAACGCAGCGAAATGAGACTACAGCCTACTGAATTCAGCATCAACAAATTGGAAGTGTTCAAACAGGTAATGCGCACACGCAAAACGGATTCACAGCCGATAAAATGCGCAGGTTCGCATAATGATGACGGGAGATGTCTTCACCCAGGACGGAAATTAGGGGCCCAAAACCGGTTGCTGACACAACCGTCCCGATGACCAGTCATATTTTTAAAATCCTGAACAGCAGAACAGGTTTTTCTAATTGAGAGCTTGTATACTCATTACCCTAATAGAAAAGAATTCATCATCAACATCATAAGCTTGGTACAACAAAATACATTGAAGCGAGCTTCACCGATCACCACCCAGCTCAAAATATACACAAACAAAATCAAAATGTGTAAGGTGGAAATTGAGTGAGTGTGTTTTGAGGCGAGCAAAGAAAGTAAAACTCTATGATCAACAAACAGGGTACATAACCTAACTGCGCACAAAGTTTCTCAAGCATCCTGATCTGATAAAAAATGACAAGAACGAGATTTCAGGCGGTTCGTTGTCCTTTAGTGTCTACAACAAACCAATCCAGAAGACAAAAGACACCTAATCCACCTAATAGCTCTGAGTATTTCGTCATACCTAGTTCCCACATCATCTGTCGTCAATCACGTGATTTTCCCCCAACTTAGGGCAGAAAACTGCGAAAAGCGCGCGGTGCGGTAAACGACAGCCAGGTATGTGCAATACGTGTCCTAGCAAAGCCTACAAATTTGTATTCAATGTGATCACGAATTATTTGCCAAATCAATCCCAAATACTGGTCTTATTGCCACGGAATAGCAAAGTTGGTTGAATTGGTTTCCGATACACTAATAATAATGTCAAAAAGATAAAGATTACAATCAACAGGTGGAAATCTCTTTTGTGACAACAATAAGACCTGTTTTGTAAGGCACTTCCAGACATTTTGTTTGTCTACATTAGGTACCCCATCACGACGAGACTGCACCTTGATGTGGTGTGATGGCTTGCGTCTTCGCACTTCATTGGACAGCTACCGTTCGCCAAAGCTGGCAGCCCTCAGCCAATAAAGCGCTGTCCAGTCCACGTTCCGCTTGTCTCATTGGATGCATGAGGCTAAGGGCTGATCCCGAAAAGCGGACCGAAAATCAACGCACCAGCGAACAAGAGGCTGAGGGCTGATCCCGAAAAGCGGACCGATAATCAACGCACCAGCGAACAACACGCTGAACCGAGTTAATTAAAATTCAAAGGCCTTGCGTAACAGGTCTCTAGAAGCTCCCATACAGGTGCTCCGTTCACGCTCCCGCGTTGGATTTACGCCCCACTGCCTTATGGGTCAGATTTTGAGTCGAGAGGCTACGGTTAGGGTTCCCAAAGAAAAACCCCTTCGTCGTTGTGGGCTGCCGCGAAGTATGCCGTGCCCTAATGTCTTGGGTACCCATTTGGAAAACCATCTTTCCCATCTGTCTAGGCCCTCTTCTCAATCCCGAATAGTCCCAGGTGCCTCC